GACCTGATGTTTACAGTTGTCTACAACAATGACCTGATGTTTACAGTTGTCTACAACAATGACCTGATGTTTACAGTTGTCTACAACAATGACCTGATGTTTACAGTTGTCTACAACAATGACCTGATGTTTACAGTTGTCTACAACAATGACCTGATGTTTACAGTTGTCTACAACAATGACCTGATGTTTACAGTTGTCTACAACAATGACCTGATGTTTACAGTTGTCTACAACAATGACCTGATGTTTACAGTTGTCTACAACAATGACCTCATGTTTACAGTTGTCTACAACAATGACCTGACGGACGCGTTCTTCGCGGCCGTGCACCGCCTGCTGAGTGCGCCGCCCTGCAAGACGCTGCTGGTCGCCCTAGAGAAGAGGTCAGCTCTGCCTTAGCCGCTTTCATTAATAATTAAATAATAATCAATACAATTAAATATTGAAAAAATATCATTAAATTAATTTATTAAATTGAATATTGATTGAAATATTATTTAATTATTGAATAAAAGTAATTAAAAATTTGTTACTAATTTTAACTCTGACGTGTATAGTTTCTGTCTACGTTTGTAGCTGATTGAATTAAGGTTCATTCTGTATAAATAATTAAGTAATTAATTTGGTTAGTCTTATGTATATGAATTTCCTCGGCCATTTTACAAGAATTCTAATTTAATTAATTCTGGTAAACTATTCAATTAATTATGGTGAAACTCTTATTTTAAGGCCAGCTACCTGGAGCTTTTGTTAGTGGATGACGACATTAATTATATAATTATAATGATATCTCTATATTTATTAAATAATATAGAGATACATATCAAGGATAATGTGTATAGTATATAACTAATCTTATCCTAAATATATATCAGTAATAATAACTTATATTAACTTGCAGATACTGAGTTACTTCCGGCTTCTATACTCACGTATAACTCTTATCCTGAATATATATTAGTAATAATAACGTATATTAACGTGCAGATACGTTTTTACGACCACGGAATACGACGTCGTAGCTCCGTGCTACGAATATTTCCTGCACCGCCTCGACGCCCTCACCAGGGACAACCCTGAAGCCCCAGCCTCCACGTGCCACGGACCACGTGCCCTGCACATCCACGCGACGTGCCTCGACCACGCGAGTTTCCCGCAATATTTCGTCCACGTGCCCTGAAGCCCCAGCATCCACGTGCCCTGAAGCCCCGGCATCCACGTGCCCTGAAGCCCCAGCATCCACGTGCCCCGGGTCACGTGCACTGCACATCCACGCGACGTGCCTCGACCACGCGAGTTTCCCGCAATATTTCGTCTACGACAGAACCAAGGAACTCGTCCTCTGGACCATCCGCGCCACTCTTACTTAGCCGCCGTAGCAATAGCATTATGGATGCATCCTTGTTAGGCACCAGTATTGCTGGTAGGAGGAGCGGTGCTAAGATTCTAAGTCATTAGTACAACACGCTGGATGCTACGCTGACTTTTATTTCCCTGACTAACGACGCACGCAACACGCGGGCCTACAAGAAGACTGCCACCGTAGGTAAAATTTTAGCAATCTTTTGACGTATATAAAATTTTGACGTGGTAAAATTTTGACGCTGGTAAAATTATGACTTGGGTAAAAATTTGACCTTTTTCAGGCTTGCATATAACCAGATGTTTTGGTTTTATGTCTTTTAGAATTTGACATATGAAATTATTTTATTCATTTTCAGGTTGTTGAACTGATTATGGAGCTGGACTCCGAAACGTTTTCAATATCGATATGGTGAATTTGCTCGGCGTTTTCTTTGTTTTAAATAAAAATTGAATGAGAAGTAAGAAGATTGATTTCCCTTTTAGAATACGAAATGCTAGATAAAACTAAGCATCATGCATTAAAAGCTAAGCATTGCTAACGAACCATATTTAAGGTAGTACAATTTCTACCCTGAAGCGAGAACGTTCGCAAAAGCTTACCGAAAGTTGACATGTTTTCTACAAGCGCGAAAAGTTCAGGGAATGAGTGGAAAAAAATTTAGATCAATAATCAGTTAAAATCAGCAGGACTTAACATACAATGTGAAAAGTCCGATAAAAAATGTTTTATGTTTTCTGGACGTTTCAGAACTTTCTCTAACGAATAGTTCGATCGAAAAATGCTCTTCTCAGTGACCCAAATACATACAAGGGTTCGTGGTACCGCGGTCCTGATTTGAAATTTTTCTAAGTGTATTGACGAAAATTCGGTACAAATGTTTTATGCTTTCTTGAGGTTTCAGAACGTAGACTATCGAATGTTTCGATCGAAAAATGCACTTTTCTCTGACCCGAATGCAAGGTTCCGGCCGGAGCCACTCGCACATGACGAATTTTTTCTAAGTAGATTGATAAAAATTCTATGCAAATATTTCATGTTTTCTGGACTTTCAGAAGATTCTCTATCGAATAGTTCGATCACAAAATTAACTTTTCTGAGGCCCTCATTTGATGGTCGTTCGAATATTTTCTAAGTAAATTTTATAATTTGTATGTAAAACTTCAAATTTTCTCGACGTTTCAGATAATTTGCAGCTGAACATTTTTCGTGAGCCTGGTCCGGCGGACTGATTCGGGTCCGGGATTTAGTCATTTGGTCCGGGTCCGGGTTTTCGTGGGTCGCCTGCCAAAGACCACAACGG